CCCCCCACACCTTATATAGAGAGTATTGTTTTGAACAGGCTGTACATTCATTCTTATAGTACAAAAATCAAGAAGTACATAAGTATAATACAGTGAAGGAAGGATCTTCTTCCCATGAGGAAGCCACTGATGTTTCTTTTGTTACAATGTATATTCTTGTAGAGATACTTTACATATATGTATGTTCTTTATACTGGTCCTCTATAAAAGTAGTTGCTATACATACTATAATGAGCCTTGAATTTTTCACTTAATATCTCATAGAGATTATTGTGAACTTCCTTATTCATTTTTAATGGCTGAATAAGTATTTTGTTGTAAAGATATACCATAATTTATTTAACAGATCCTCTATTTACATTGTTCTAATCTTGTAAAAATAGTGCTACAGGGAATAATATGCTGTATCATTTTGTGCACAAAGATAAACATTTTGTACATCTGCATAATAAATAACCAAAAGAAGGGTGAGATAAAGGGTATGTGCATTTGTAACTTTGACAGCAATTGCTGAGTCTCCTTCCATAAAGGCTGTACTAATTTACACTTCTACCAGCAATGTAGGAGAGTATGAAATAAAATCACCCAGTTTGTGGTTTTAATTTGCTTTTCTCTTATTATGGGTGAGACTGAGCATATTTTTTTTTAATTTTTTAATTTATTTTTTTAATTTACATCCAAGTTAGTTAGCATAAAGTGCAACAGTGATTTCAGGAGTAGATTCCTTAATGCCCCTTACCCATTTAGCCCATTCCCCCTCCCAAAACCCCTCCAGTATCTCTCTGTTTGTTCTCCATATTTAAGAGTCTCTTATGTTATTGCCCCCCTCCCTGTTTTTATATTATTTTTGCTTCCCTTCCCTTATGTTCATCTGTTTTGTCTCTTAAGTCCTCATATGAGTGAAGTCATACGATATTTGTCTTTCTCTAATTTTGCTTAGCATAATACCCTCTAGTTCCATCCACGTAGTTGCAATAGCAAGATTTCATTCTTTTTGATTGCTGAGTAATACTCTATTGTATGTATGTATGTGTATATATATATATGCGTGTGTGTATATATACACACACATATATATGTATATATATGTACATATATGTATACACACATACACATATATATGTGTATACATACACATATATATGTATACACACACACACACACACACACACACATATATACACATACATCTTCTTTATCCGTTCATCTACTGATGGACATTTGGGTTCTTTCCATACTTTGGCTATTGTTGATAGTGCTGCTATAAACATGGGGGTGCGTGTGTCCCTTCGAAACAGCATACCTGTATCCCTTGGATAAATGCCTAGTAGTGCAGTTGCTGGGTCGTAGGGTAGTTCTATTTTTAATTTTTTAAGGAA